AAATAGTTTCCTTAAAGAGGTTGTAAACAAGATGAACTCAAGTAGAAAACATAAAACACTTGTCTCTTTTCTTTGAGGCAGGCAGTCAAACTTCCTGTTTTTTTATTTTATAATAATTTCATCTACGTTTTAATAATGAGCATCTTTACTTGAATTGAATGAAATGCAGAAAGATTTCAATTTAAACCTTAAAATTAGAAGCTGCACACCTTGAAGTCTTTAGTTTTGTTGGGATCAATTTAGTTAACTAAACTCTGGATCCAACCTTTTCCACATTGATGAAGATTTAAACATTTCAAGATATTTCTCCATCTGCAACTTCTGCAAAGATCACATTCAACAACAGCCTCAAAATGAAATCTAAGTTTATTTGGAGTGAAATACACTAAACTGTAAATCTACATGTATTCTCTCCAGACTTTCTGCCTCTTCTGAAACACAAAGATGGCTGCAGCTCTGACTCTCCTCCTCATTGGCTGTCTGCTGCAAGGTGAGATGCTCACTTATATTTGTCAAAGAAATTAGCTACTAATGTGTTCTGCTATCTTTTAACAATATCATAATTTAAAGATTTGGTGTTAAATTTACAACTTTAATGTAAAAAAACTGTGTGAAAATGATGAATCCTGAGTTTTATGTGAAGACTATTTTATCTTTGAAAGCATACTGATAAGATTTTTAGAAACAGAGCCATCAATAAAATGTATCATGACTTTATTTTTTTTGTTTGTTTATTTAACAGAGACACATGCAATGAACATTGTTGATTTTATCAATATAGACATTATAAACTCAATGAATAAGGATTGTATTGTTAATGTATAATTGTAATAAGGATTTGTTTCTTGTGTTTCAGGTGCCCTGTGTGGACAGTTTGAGAGCATTATACCAAAGACTATAGAGGTTCTGAAGGGATCCTGTGTGACAATCCCCTGCTCCTTTGACGTAAAGGATCAATATAATGTAAACTTAGATAACACATGTAAAGCATTATGGAAAGAATTTGATGGCAGACTGTTGTGTTTGATAGCAGTAATCCACAACAGAGTACAATCAACGGACAATTGATCGGTGACTTAACAAAAAAAGACTGCACCACAACCCTGAATGACATGCAACCTCAAAACAACAAAGTGTATTTTTTTAGATTGGAATGTGACAATAATCTGAAATACTATTTTGATAACGTGAAAATTTCAGTTAAAGGTAGGTTTTAAATTCAATGTATTAACAGTTCATTCATGTAGTACTTCTCTGACCTTATCATTGATTACTTTAAAATAAAGATAAATCCATCCTTTGATAGTAGAGAGAAATGACTGCTTATACATGTTTATGTATCTTCTGAACAGATGATCCACCCAGACCGACTCTGACTCCGCCCACAGAGTGAAAGAGGGAACCTCAGTGAGTTTGAACTGCTCTGCTCCAGCTCCCTGTCTGTCTCTTCCTCCAAATCTGACATGGAGCCCCGGCCTGGGTGAAGGTCAGGAGACCCTGCAGGAGAATCAGGACAAAACTAAAGTCAAGATCTCTGTGCTGAACTTCAACGCATCACACCTCCATCACGGACAGGAAATCTCCTGTACTGCTGTCTACAGAAAACAAGATGGCAGCACTGAGTCATCTGTGAACACCAGTTTAACAGCTGACATTACATGTGAGTATGTTTGTCTTGTGATTAAATTGATTACATAAAATACATGCTTCTTCTTCTTTGTTTGTTGTTTTGTAATCATTTAGCAAACAGTTACGAGCATGGCCGTCACCTGGGGTGTGCATACTGCCATGTGTGATTACCTTTTTGTTTGATTGTAGATGTATTCATTGTATGAACAGGGTTTGTTGTTTAGCCTCTACATAAATGATCTAATAAATGAATGCTATTAGGTCAGACATCCTAATGTACGCTGATGATACTATCATTTTTGAACATGACAACAAACCAGCAAGCTGCACGTAAGCTAACAGCAGTGATGACTATGTCACACAGTGGTTTAATAACTCCTGTCAATACTTAAACAGAAAGAAAACAATCTGCATGTTTTTCACAAAGATGTCAACAGATCATTTCACACTCAGTGTTTTCATCACAGGGTTAAAGGTCACAGTTGTATCTGATTATAAATGAATGTAACACTGGACTTTAATCTCCCATTTCAAAAACAAATTAAGAATGCAGTGAGGTTCACAAATGACAAACAGTTTGTAAATGCAGACTGAACAGTTTATATATTGTGGGATTTCTATTAGTCTACGTTTACAAAACTATAAATATTGTGTGTGAATCAGAAATACATTTGTGAATCTTATTTTTTTATTTGTGGATTTGTTTTACATTTATATAGAATGAAATATATTTGTGTGTGCATTGAAATACATTTATGAATCATTCTGTGTGCATTTGTGAATAATGAGACTGATATAACTCCATAACAGCTGTCCTCCACAGCTCATTGGTGGGGTTTATTTACACGAGCTTCATGTTGTTGTGCTGCGTCAGATGTTGTAAGTGCTTAAGGAGTTTTGAAGTCTGTTTTTTGCAGTATAAAGAGTCCTGGTACTGGGACACAATTTACATTTGACAATGATGTTCTTGTTATCTTTCCTGTCGACAAAACTTAAGTAATGGGAATTTTTCAAGCCACTGAATGTAAACTTCCATCTTTCAAGCTAGCCAGGGTTGCCAGGTATGTGTGACAACAAATGACAAAACAAGCCCAATGGCCAAAAAAAAATACCTCTGGGGCACCTAAAAAAAAGCCCAAATCCGTATATCTGGCAACCATGAAGCTGCTACCTTCCTGCTTGTCTGAGTGCGCAACAAAATTAATCTGGGTTTGTTGCATAAATCTGAAGTGGGGTAATAACAACAACAGTAATGTAGTAACAAGTTATTTTTTGTGTGGGTAACTGTAATATTATTACTGGAATTTCATTAGTAATTCGTTACTCTACTCGTTACTTGTAAAAGTAATATCATTACTGTAACGCGTTACTAGTGATACGTTACAGACCCAACTGGTCCTACTAGCTGTTTCTATTGATGTTTAGCAGGGCTTGTTCAGGATAAAGGCATAACATTCTCTATCCCTCATCACAAATAAACTACATTTTCAAAAAATACAACTTTATTTTTTCTCTTTTCAGATTCACCCAAAGGGACCACAGTGTCAGTCAGTCCCTCTGGTCCAGTGCAAGAAGACACAAATGTGACACTGACTTGCAGTGCTAATGCAAACCCAGCTGTAAAGAACTACACCTGGTACAGAGCTGATGGAGGCCAGGAGACTTTCATGGGGACTGGACGTGTTTTAAACATCAAAGCTTCTAGGGAGAGAGGACCTTTTTTCTGCGTGCAGCAAATGAAGAGGGAAGTGGAAGATCGAACAACACACAGATGGATGTTCAGTGTAGGTATCGTTTGAAACATTTGCATAAATGCAGGTAGGTCAGGCTTCTTTGTGCAGCGTTTTACAAATGAGGAATGTAAATAATCTTTGTTAATAAGCTTCTTGAAAGAGAGGCCCGTTTTTCTGCAAGGCTGAAAATAACTGGGAAGTTTTCAATCAAACACAAGACAAATAGATGTACATTGTAGGTGTCATTCATCAGTTACATTTTAAAATGTATGAAAATCTCTTTGTTTACTTTAATTTCCTTTGATTGGAAACTTCAAATCCATAAAATCTTTCTTTTGTAGAGGATTAACTTTGTTGTAAATAAAGGGAGAAAAGCGTTATAGATAATGGATGGATGGATAGTTTACATAATAAAGTATTTAGTGCCTTTCTTTTAGGGTGGTGGGAGATCACTTTGGGTAATCCACCCTGAACGACCTGAATGGTAGGGGAAACACTGTGTTATATATGAGGTTCTATAATTAAATTAGAGACGAGCAAATGTTAACTTTACCCCCAAAAAGGTCTGCTTAGTAAGAATGTGCATATCAAGTAAAATTACATTATTCAAATGAAATTGCTTGCGCGAGTAATATTGTATCCTGAGAGGACAAAACCATGCTTTGAGCGCGAAAAAGGAGAGAGCACTGTAGTTACACTCAGGGTGAGATTTTGCTCGTGCTCAAAGCATGGTTTTCTCCTTGCAGGATACAATATTGCTCGCGAGCAGATAAATTCTGCAGCGAATGCTGTGCAAGTGCTCACAAAAATAATATGCGTGCGTGGCTGTTTGAGTTGCACGCACAGCTCCTTTAAATTCGCGCATGGATCTCGTCGCACGCAATTTTATTGGCTGGGATAAAACGCCATAGGTTGGTTATGGAGATGTGACATAGAAGAGCGTAGTGCTGTTCCATAAGTGGAATTGTTTTCAACTGAGAGCTGAGTAATGCGGCCTCAAGAAACTTATGAGTGCTGAAAACACTGAACTACATTGGTTTTGTATTGAAAATAGGCGCTGCCAGCGTTAAAAGCGCCCTCTGTGGACACAGGCCCAGAATGAAAACCGAATTGACATGGAGGAAATTGAATTTTTCTTTGCCTCATTCACTTCACACTCACAGCTGGTCAACTTTTTTTTTTTTTTTTAAGCCATAAGCCTTATCTTTTACTTTTGCAAATTTGATACAGCATGGCTTTACTTGACTCTCTACTTGTCTCTCTTCCCTACATCCATTACAGATGCTCCACAGATCATGTCCTCATCTGATTGCACCAAAACTGCTAACCAGGTCAACTGTTCCTGTGAGTCTACGGGAAATCCTCCTCCCACTTTACAATGGAGTTTGGATGGGTTAGCTGTCAATCACTCAGAAGAGTTTGCAATCAGTTATGAGCATCGAAATGGTACAGGCGTGAGCTTCATCACCATGAGTCAAGCCCAAAGGAAGGATCACTTCACTGTGCTTTGTCGCAGCTCAAACTCTCTGGGATCTGTTGCTCAGCGATTTATTTTCTACAGCCTTCCAACATCTGCAGAAAGTCAAGGTTTGTCTCTGAACTGAGTATAACTTATTGGAAGCGACATTTCACATTTGTTCTCATAATTACTAAGTATTAACAAGAAAGCTTTATGAATGGGTAAGTGGTGAACATAAATTCCTCTTGAAAGCTTTAATATGTCCTGATTTAACAATTTACAAAATGAATAATTAATAAGTGATGTCCGAATTTATTCAAATAATAATCTCGTCTGAATAAGATCTTGAACCATAATCCCTTATTGTCCTTTGTATGTTTCAGTGATTTTGCCAGTCTTCATCGCCACCATTGTCGTCTTCCTGGTGCTAGTATGTGCTCTACTCTTTGTTATCAGGTAGGGTAACAGCAAATCAAGCCAAACCGTACAGAATACCACTATGCAAAATATTTAAAAACCTCCAACTTGGACTTTTATATTATTCAATTGAATGAAGATACTGATTCTATATGGTGTTCCTCTGGTCTTCAATTTAAAATCTTTGAAATGTTTAATATTTTTTGGTATTATGAGCAGACCAAGTCTTATCCAGGTAATTATATTTTCAATTGAGGCCCACAATTTCAATCAAATGTTGTGGATCGAAATTGTTGCCAATTTATTTGTGTTATTTATAGTGTCCTCTGCTCTGTGTCTGTTTGTGAGAAATGAACATGAATATGCAGCTTTATGAGACACCTAAAGGACTGGAGAAACATCAGTATTTGCTGATCTGTGAATTTCAGATGTACCGCTGATCTCTTACTCTCTTTTTTGCTCAAAGCAACTTTGGGATTAAATATGACTGAAGATATGTAGTTATTTAAAGCTTTGTGTACTTTTGGGTACTATCGATCATTAGAATAAAGGAGATTTGGAAGAGTATTGTTTTAAAAGAGGTCGAAAGTATCAAATTATGAAAAAAAATGTTGATAACCTTACTCTGAAGAGAGGATGCCCACAGGTGGTTCATTATGTGGTGTTTTACTGTTCTTTACTGATTGGTGTGCTGTGATACAGTTTGCAGCTTCTCAATAAGCCCCATGTTTGCAGGCAGCTGTAGCGAAGTCCGAGTGGAAAACCTGCGAGTTTTGCTCCAGTATGTTGCAACAAAAAAGTTATGGCATGAAGTAATCATGAATATTTCCCTTCTTGACAGAGTATGTCCTGTACTGTGACCGTGCACATGCACACATAAGAATGTTGATGCTGAAATGCTGCCCGCACCAGCCAAAGCTATAGACAGGCACTAATGCTCTACTACCTAGATGTAAACCAGCATAGTAGACAAGTGGCATGTCATAGCGCAAAGAGGTTTGACTGTATTTTGATCTAGAAAATGGAGTAAAAGTTGTATGTAGGCTGTCTCGTGTTAAAGTGGTGTATCTTGACCAGAGCAATGCGTAAAAAGCACAGACATGTGGAAGTAAACCTGCAAGGAGGACCAAAGGCTGGCAGTGCTAGTACTGCTAATGCTAGTACCTCGCCACACTCGGCACAACATGTTGACATCGACTGCAGACGCTGTGATCCTGTGATCTGTTACCAGTGTTAAAATAACTAAATATGGACTGTTCCCTGAGTTTTTTCTCAACTTTAGACTAGGGAAAAACAAAGATATTTTCAGTATATTCTTGTAGGTTTATACTCTGCTGGTTTTTTCAGGGCTCAGAGGACTCAACACAACCTGCTTAAGAGTCAGGGGTCAGGTAACGCCAGCACAGTTGCTATGAGCCAACATCTACCAAGTGGAAAAGGAGATGAGGTACTTTATCCTGGAATCCAGCAGTTTTCTACTTAGTGTCACTTAAATAAGCAGAATAACCTTACAACCAACATTTCCTTTTGATTTGTAGGAACTCAACAAAACAAATGAGGGCATTTATGCTAACACCACTGAGCTGAAGAAACCAGGTGTCACCCAACCTGCAACTACCTCTGAGCCAATCAGCACCAACTTACCAAGCTCAATCCGAAACGAACAGAAGATGCCAGGACAAGTTCAGAGAAGAAAAACGAGGAAAGCAAAGATGTGATTTATACTAGTGTGACTTGGAGGAGCAAAGGCGAGAAGGAGGGAGGAAGCTCTGGGGCACAAATCAGTCAGGTCGCTCCTGATGGAGAATTGGGCAGAAATGTTGCGAGCAATGCAGTAGAGAGTGTAAATCTATACAATGAAGTGAAGCCTAGAAATGTGAAGAAGGACTCTGAATGTGAATATGCCCAGGTTAAATTTAGAGACTAGATTGAGATGCAGACATAGATTACAGTTCAGTCCGGACTGGGCGATAAAACGAAATGATAATTATTGCAATATAATTTTCGTCAATAAATATGAAAAATGTTCAATAAAAGTTTGACAGATTTAATCGTGTGATTACACCACCAACCACTGGGAAGTGGGGAGCGCTAATGTTCCTTGAGCGTTACGTGCACTGTGCTTATAATGGTGAAATATTTAATTATAGTTTCTCATGTTCTGAATAATTAAACCATAATTAACCACCTTGTTTTTTCAACTTTAACTCAGGAGCCAAAATCAGCCTTTAAATTTGAAAGAAATAATGAATGACAATTATCGATATCGACTGATATGACATTTTTTATCATGATAACACTTTTAGTCATGTCACGCAGGCCTACTCGCTATCATAGTTTGGCTCAGTTTACAGCAACAGACTACAGCAGGCTGTAACGTTACCTAGTGAAGCTACTGATTGTTGTCACACACAGCCACCAGCTATTTACAGAAGATTTCAGCATTCAGACCTACTAAAGAAGCAGTGCAAACAATAAGAAAAACACAATTGCTTGTCAATTTCTATGTTCTGTTTTAACTTTTTGATAAAGCTTCAGTGAAACATGAAAAACCTGTGTTCCCAACCTTGAGTCCCTTTTTAAATGGGATGAATTTGCAGAACAGGGCTTACCATGTTCTACTAAGGGGTGATGTGAAGGGCAGTCAATATGCAAGTAGCTCTCAGAGCAGAGTCTGAGGAACATAATGCAGTCATCAAGTATGACAATATTGTCAAATATCTTCTATCATAAAATATGTAACATATCAATATATGAACCTGATGTTTTGCTCCTGCTGATTCTCATTAAGTTTATATTCCCTCTGGCCTACCTTATTACATGTGTTGACACTGTCACATGTGCTGTCACTTTAATGTTGCCTGAGATAATAATGAACCAGAAAGCTGTATGAAGTTATCTTCAGCTAGCACACATTTCTCTCAACATCTTTACCTATGGCTACCAAACGGTTAATATGATCAGACAGTATGTTTAACAGAAAGACTGGCTTGCTAGACAGACTTCGAATTGGTCACTGTCCCGAATAATAAGAGTTTTTTAGATGTTTTTATTCTGAAACATAACCTCACCAAAGAAACGAGTGTGAGTGACAGCTCTCATAATGTTACTTTGTATGACAAATGGCTGTACAGTAAACTCTGCTTTCAAAAGCAGCTTTCACTGTTGTTCATTTCCTGTTGCATGACACATACTTTTCTTTCTCATCAGCTTTTCTTCACTGAACCACTAACATTTTTGCCAACTTTGCTAACACATTCACCCTTCCTTCCTCTTCCTCCTCTCCCCCACACAAAGGCTTCTCTGTGCTGCAGCAGGTGAGAAGCTGGAACATCACTGTACCTAAAACAGTGACTGCAGTGGAGGGGAGCTGTGCTGTGGTACCATGTCAGACAAAAGCTCATGTCCAGGTCACCTGGTATCAATACAATAAGATGTATTATCCTGTGGTGTATGACAGATATCCTCCTACAGTGGAACAACAGTTGGTTTGGATCCAGGACTAAAAAACATTTTTACAAAAGGAATTTCTCAAATGTCAATCGACGATTTGAAGGGAGAAATGTACTTTCAGAACCAGAGCCACCATAAAAGTGGGGGATCACTGTTGAGTTCTATCGATCACTACAATTGGCATGTTTGAAATTAGCTTCAGGAGCTGATGTATTTCCCAGATCATTTCATCTCTAAAAGCTCAAAAGCAACAAATACAGCAAGTGAAAAAGTGAACTCAAAAAGTGAAAAAAATTGCTGACTTTGAGTAAGAATGAATGAATGAGTACTTTTTGTCATACTATAAAATCCAGAATATAAGTGGCATGTTTTTGAAGGTCTCTGAGAGAGAAAAAAAGTTTTCCGGCCTGATCATTTCTATTGTGTTCAGTGAAGTCTACAACGTGCAGTTTGTGTTCAGCTGTGTCGCTCTTTTAGTTCAGTCTGTTTTCACTTTTTGGAGTTTGCACTCCTACTAGTTACAGTACGGTAGTTGAGCTCTCAGGCTGCAGTGAAAGTTGTGAGGCACAGACTCCTAGCTTGCAAGCTCTCTGCACGACTCCGCTGGTCACTTTTTGACTTTAATATATAATTATTTCAATCAAAAGAGCACTCAACAAGGTTTATTTATGAAACAATATACCACTGTTTTCTGTGCATGCAGGATTATGACCTCGTGAGGGAGAAAAGCTGTGGTTTGTGTCACCTTCTCACCCAGCACAGCATGCAATCACATCTGGATACAGAAAGAATGGGGATGTATTTTTAATCGTCAGTAATGACGCCGCGTGTGTCAGCATTTTATACTGGTATATTGGTTGCACCAGTGTATAGATGCAGCCAACTTTTTGGATCTAAAAAAAGGGTGTGCCTCTTATACATCAGGTTTTTATGGTAATTGATAAGAGATTGATAATTGTGTTATTAGAAATGTATTCTATAGAGTAGTCTGCTTATTTCATTGCTTCATGATAAGTAAGTACAGGCTTTTCATGTGTTTTTGCATTTTAGTCGAATGCTGACATCCGCATGATGACAATGTTTTTTTAAGGTCTAAAGATACAAATAATTTGTACAGAGAGATGTTTGTTATCAATAGTAAATGAAAGGTAAGTAAAGATGTGATCCTGTATGAAAACTATTCACATGAAATGTACTGAACATGAATGTGAACATGAATGTTCACCTTTTTTTGACTTCCTCATTTTCAAGACAAATTTTGAATGCTGTTTATGAAGGCGGCCAAATAATGAGGAACTTCACTTCTCTAAACATCCTTCACCTCTCTGCTCAAAAAGACCTGACAAAAACGTAAGTGTATAAAACTTTTATATCACTTTTAAACAACTTTATACTTTTTCAGGAGATATAACAAATCAACATGTTTAATATCATAAAGGTTACTTTTTAATAAGTGCATTTTTCTGAAGTTGATCAAACAAACTTTGTTACAGGGGAAAGAAAAAAAAACATTCACTCTGATCAAGTTTTGAACATTTTAAAGCTCTCATGCAGTTTTTCTTCTGGGCGTTATTACTGATCAAATAGTTTCCTTAAAGAAGTTGTAAACAAAGAAAGAAACAAAATAAAAAACACAACATTTGTCTCTTTTCTTTGAGGCAGGCAGTCAAACTTCCTGTTTTTTATTTTATTATCATTTCATCTTCTACGTTTTAATAATGAGCATCTTTTTACATGAATTGAATGAAATGCAAAAATATTTCAATTTAAACCTTAAAATGAGAAGCTGCACACCTTGAAGTCTTTTAGTTTTGTTGGGATCAATTTAGTTAACTAAACTCTGGATCCAACCTTTTCCACATTGATGAAGATTCAAATATTTCAGCATATTTCTCCATCTGCAACTTCTGCAAAGATCACATTCAACAACAGCCTCAAAATGAAATCTAAGTTTATTTGGAGCGAAATACACTAAACTGTAAATCTACATGTATTCTCTCCAGACTTTCTGCCTCTTCTGAAACACAAAGATGGCTGCAGCTCTGACTCTCCTCCTCATTGGCTGTCTGCTGCAAGGTGAGATGCTGACTTATATTTGTCAAAGAAATTAGCGACTAATGTGTTCTGCTTTCTTTTAAAGATATCATAATGTAGAGATTTGGTGTTAAATTTACAACTTTAATGTAAAAAATAACTGTGAAAATGATGAATCCTGAGTTTTACATGAAGATTATTTTATCTGTGACTCCTCAGGTTTTTAGAAACAGAGCCAACAATAAATTGTATCATGACTTTATTTATTTATTTGTTTGTTTATTTAACAGAGACACGTGCAATGAACATTGCTTCATGTAAATACAAAGTAGATAACATGCAGTCAGGTTTCTAGCCACGGCTCATTTGAAACCTCTATCCCTGTCAATGATTTTAGTAATATAGTCATTATAAACTCAATATGAAAACTATACATATACATATGAATATGTATTTTAAACGTATAATTGTAATAAGGATTTGTTTCTTGTGTTTCAGGTGACCTGTGTGGACAGTTTGAGATCATTATACCAAAGACTATAGAGGTTCTGAAGGGATCCTGTGTGACAATCCCCTGCTCCTTTGACGTAGAGGATCAATATAATGTGAACTTAGATAACACATGTAAAGCATTATGGAAAGAATACTAATGGACCTGTTGTGTTTGATAGCAGTAATCCACAACAGAAAGGACAATTGATCGGTGACTAACAAAAAAAGACTGCACCACAACCCTGAATGACATGCAAAACAACAAAGTATTTGTTTAGATTGGAATGTGACAATATTCTGAAATATAATTTTTACAAACAAGAATGGAAAATTTCAGTCAAAGGTAGGTTTCAAATTAAATGTATTTACAGTTCATTCATGTAGTACTTCTCTGACCTTATTATTGATTACTTTAAAATAAAGATAAATCAAACCTTTGATAGTAGAGAGAAATGACTGCTTATACATGTTTATGTATCTTCTGAACAGATGATCCACCCAGACCGACTCTGACTCCGCCCACACTGAAGGTGAAAGAGGGAACCTCAGTGAGTTTGAACTGCTCTGCTCCAGCTCCCTGTCTGTCTCTTCCTCCAAATCTGACATGGAGCCCCGGCCTGGGTGAAGGTCAGGAGACCCTGCAGGAGAATCAGGACAAAACTAAAGTCAAGATCTCTGTGCTGAAC